CGCGCTTCATACTTCAGTCGCGATCGGCTCCAGCGATAGGTTGGCGCCAGTTGCGCGTAGCGCGCTCTACCTACGATCCAGTCGCCGTCAACCGGCGCCAACCACCTCGCGCGCGATTTTATCGTGTCGTATGAACGCGCTCTCACCATTTGTCAAATGTTAGGGTGTGCGAAGTGAAAATAGTCGCGGAAGGCCACGTAGGTGAGAGCGCGACAAAAGCAGAGATGGTGTGGCTCAAAGGACCGAGTACAGGCAGTTTGTGAAGCATCCATGAGCAGTTTCTATAATACCCTGAAGCCTTTTCGAACTACTATTTCAGGCCTTGACTTCTTTAACCGCTAATATGGTGGAGTTGAATAGGGAGCATTGGATGAAGGATGCTATTGACGCAGAGAAAGCTGGTTGTACTCTGACTTGCCAAGCTATAATGTAAGTTGACAGTTTGATTTGTGTCCTTTTTAATGTGATTTCTGAGTTGAAAGATACAGCGACTATGTTAAAATGCGTTGTGGCTTGTAGTTACCATTCCATCTAATAAACTCGTTTTCCAGTCGTCACGTTATTGGAGCGGGTGTCGAGGACGAAGACAAGAAAGCGACATGGCTTGAGGATGCTGATTCTTTCGCTAAACAAGGCATGAGCATTACTTACTGTCTAGGGGCGTTGTCTCGTAATTACTGTATATAGTGAACATACAGTTTTGTTCGCCGCGATAATGGGACGGAGGATCAAGGGAGGATGGGTTTAACGCTGCGCCGGCCCGTTTCTGTCTTGTTTTCTTTCGGCGAGTGACAGGACTATCGTATTGTTTCCACCAGTTGTTGACGCTTTCCAGCTTCAACTTCGTGGAAAACGAGCTGGCGGCGTGCCAAACTCGGCCCCCTGTCATACCCCATCCGCAGCGAAAAAGACTGTATATTGCTGTCATGGCGTGGTCATTCATAGCTTGCTTTTGCACTAGAAAATGAGCTGGGTTGTGAGGTCATATACATTTCAGGAGCACTTGCTTGCGCCCGAGCAGTATACGCCCATGCATTGGAGAATATTGAGAAAAGGAAGGGAATCTGGTTGGCTGCTGCTCACTTTGAAAAAACGCATGGAACAATGTGAGTGGTATTATTCCTGGCAATGCAACTTGAATCATTCCTTGGGTTGTTTGAGCTAATTTCTTGAATATCCTTTTTTTCAGACAAGAATACGAGAAGGTCCTGGAGGATGCGACGGCTTCTTG